GCCTGCAGCACGGCGCTTAGGTGCCGGCTCCCACATGGCCGACAGTGCAGTGTGAATCCTCCCCAGGGGTTGGAAAAGCATGCCGGGCACATATGCATGCATGCCGCAAATCCTAATGGGATGCAGAAATGTAGGAGGGGGACCGTGGTCTGACCACACCCCTGGAGGGAGGGGCTTTCTCCCCCTTTTTCTCTGTCCGTCTCTCTGATGAGTACACACCCCCATGACAATTAAAATAATTTTAAAGAATTATTTTTTAAAACTATTTATTAATTTTAATTTGACCAGGATGCGAACCAAGGTCGGCCATGTGGGAGTCCAGCGCCCTTAACCACCACGCCACCTGCCGGTCCCCAAATTAAAATAATTTATTTAAGAAAAGAACAGACACTTCTGTCCAGTGGAGGCAGGGACCACGCTGCCCAGTATGACAGCCACTGGCCACGTGCCGTGGTGGGCGCCTGAGGGGGCTGGTGAGAGCGGAGGCGTGCAGTCAGTGGGTGTACACTGATCCCCTAGGCTCAGGACGACAGGGCTGCACAAAGGCCTTGCGGGCCATCTCGTATACTGACCACATGCTGAAGTGGCAACATTTGGAGTAAACTGGGCTGGACGAAATGAGTCCTGTCTGCTGCTTTTAACGTTTTTGTTTAAATTTTGCCAGAGAGAGAGAGAGAGAGAGAGAGAGAGAGAGAGAGAAAGCACCCCAGGGAACGGCCATGCTGTAACCCCTCCCTTCTCCTCTGTACCTCCCTTTCAGGATTCCGGGCACGCGCACATGCACCTGCCATGTTCCTCAGGAGGCTGGGTCCGGGACTGAAACCACGTGGTCGCCCACATGGGATCCAGCTGCCTTAACCACCATGCCACTGACTAGCCCACTTGCATCTTTTAAAATGTGGCTACTAGAAAACTTGAAATGGTACAGCTCTCGGCTCCCACTGGACAGCACTGGGACAGAATGAGGGGACAGTGGGGCACAAGTCCCCCCCTCTTCCTCCCAGCGACGAGTCCCACCTGGGACAATCTGTGTGTCACCCACACTCCCTGTTCTCTCTGTCCACAGGGTCACAAAATGAGTCTAACCTCCTTCCTCGGGGGAATCCACGTAACTGTGGCTGGAATTCCACAGGTGCCCTTCGCAAGCGCTCGGGAGGGGCGACCCCAGCTTCCCTGACACAGGGCACTGGCAGCTCCTCCCAGGGCGGGTGGGCCCTCATGCTCCTGCACCCCGGCCTACAGGCAGGCCTGTTTCCAGGAGGCCTTGGCCCAAGGCTTTGGGGAGACAGAAAAGATCTAAGCTGGAGGGGAGGGCGTCTTTTCCCCAAATCACACACCTGCCCGATGATCTGGCCCAGACAGGACCCAAAACCCCTCTGGCTCCGCTGCTCCAGAGAGAGCAGCTGCAGCGTCAGGACCCGACCATCCCAAACATGCAGAAAAGGGTCAAGACCTCGTACCCCAGCCGCTGCTTCTCCCCACCCCCATTCCCTGCATGGGCTGGAGGGCAGAGCCTGCCTGTCCTGCAGACCACCTTGCACCCCGGCCAACCCATTGCCCTTCCCTCGTGCCGGGCGGCAGGGGCCTACCTCGCAGTGGTAGCACTCCACGTGGTAGTCTCGGTCCATGGACACGACGCGGATCGTCTCGTCTGAGCCCTGAGGCCAAGGGAAGCAAGAATATGCCAAGAGTTAGGGGCCGGGGCTCCACGTGCCATGGAACGCGGGGAAGAGGGCTCTGCACCTTGGGCGAAGATGGTGAGTCCCTAGTGAAAACAGATCCCGGCAGGACAGAACCAACGTGGCCCGAGCGGAGGCAGTCCTGCCTCCGGGGTGTACGGTCAGCGCGGAAAGGCCGGCCCGTACTGACTGTACACACCAACGAAAGCCAGCCCCTCTGCCACGAGCTCACCTCGCAGTCAGCACTGAGGCGCATTCTGGCCTGCCCGGAGGGACAAAGAGACACAGAGAGGAAGGCCCCGGCCGGGCAGTGGCCAGGAGAAAGGGAGAGGACGGTACAGCCCGGCCTGGAGGTCTCGAAGGACGTTTGGGAAGACGTGAGGATGGGCGCAGGATTTGGTAAACGGCCCAGGGCCACAGCCGACTCTGAAAGCCGGAGAAAGCTCTTACCTCTGGCGGAAGGATGGGAAGCCCACAGGCGGCACACTTGGGGGCCAGCACCCTGTGGGAAGAGCACGGACGCTGTGAGAGGTGTCTGTCGTGTCCGGGCAGCCAAGCCCAGGACGAGACCCGCATCCGGAGCTGCACAGACCCCTGCTCGCCCACACCCTGCCCGTCGGTCTCCTCCCGAACCCGCCCTCCGCACCCCTGCCCTGCATGAAGACAGGGCCTGGCTCACTATGCAGCCTGCTCTGGGGCTGTCCCACTGGACACAGACTGATCTGCTGCTTCTCTCGCGGATGGCTCCAAGCGTGGGCACCCTACAGCTGCCTGGGAAGCTCGGCGGGTTCTCTGAGGCCCGGCCAGGAATCTGATCATGGCGCTTTCTGTTCTTTTTATGCACTGTATCTAATTCTTTAATCAATTCCTGTCTACACTGGTGGCAACTGACCTCCCAAGGCCCTGCTGCACCCCTCAAAGCCGCCAGGCCGGTGCCGAACAAGCTCGCACGCTGCCCTGCTGAGGGCGTGGCTGCCCGTGTGGCGATCCCTTACTTGTGGTAATCCCGGACACAGTAGATCTTGTTCTCCGAGTCCACGGTGAAGGGCACCCCATCCAGGCACTCGTTGCAGATGACGCAGCGGAAACAGCCGGGGTGGTAGGATTTCCCCAGGGCCTGCAGGATCTGGGGCATAACGAGGAAGGACCGGGCCCAGTGGATTGCAGGGACGGAAGGGCCAGCGGAGGGGAGAGACACCGTCAGGCCACGGGTGTGCAGGCACCAGAGGTCCACGTGGGGGTGTGAGCCCAGCGACAGAGGACCCAGAGCAGGGTGGTGTAAGCGGTGAGCCCAGCCACGGAGGACCCAGAGCGGGGTGGTGTAAGTGGTGAGCCCAGCCACGGAGGACCCAGAGCAGGGCGGTGTGAGTGGTGTGAGCCCAGCCACGGAGGACTCAGAGTGGGACGGTGTGAGTGGCGTGAGCCCAGCGACAGAGGACCCAGAGCGGGGCGGTGTGAGCGGCGTGAGCCCAGCGACGGAGGACCCAGAGCGGGGCGGTGTGAGCGGTGTGAGCCCAGCGACAGAGGACCCAGAGTGGGGCGGTGTGAGCCCAGCGGCCCAGAGCGCGTTCTCAGCCCGATGGCTACAGACACTAGGACAGCGAGAGCCGACGGTGTGGGTTCTGCCGGCAAGCACACTGCGTCTCTCAGGGCCGACTGTCAATAAAGCCTGCCCCTCCCGGAGTGCTCGTGCAGAGCCTACTCACCATGTGCATGATGAGATGCCCACAGAGGGAGCACCTGTCGGCTGACTGCTGGAAGCCGGAGTACTGCAGGGAGGAGGAGGAGAGAGAGTGAGACCCGCGGGCGACAAGTCAGCCACCTCCCGCCACGCAGGACTATACGGGGTTTCTAAGAAACGTGTCACTCCTGAGGACAAGGGATGGCGCTCCCTCCACGAAAGCCGTGACACACGCTGACACCACTCGCACTAATGACAACGGGGTGTAGACACCTCGGCAGGCCAGGCCCTGCAGAAGGGACTGTGCAGGGGCACCTGACCCCTATCTCAGTGGTTCCCAAAGAGGGGTTCCCTGGCATCACCTGGAAACTGATAAGAAAAAATGCAAATGCTTGGCCTCACCCCAGGCCTATTGGCTGGAGACTCAGGTGGGGCGGGGCCGGCAGTCTGGGGCTCCGAGAGGTTATGCAACCTTCTCACGGCCACATAGCCAGAACGAGGTAAGGACAGGACTCAGATTCAAGCCCGGTTCTGGCTATAAACCTGTCTAGAGTCAGTGTCACAGAAACTTGTTACAGATTCACTGTGGCAACACACACGGGCACGAGTGCACACACACACAGACACGAGTGCACACGCACATACACACAGGCACGAGTGCACGTGCGCACACACACACAGGGATGAGTGCATGCACACGTACACACACACACAGAGGCACGAGTACACAGAGAGGCACGAGCGCACGCACACATACACACACAGGCACGAGTGCACACACACATACACACACACAGGCACGAGTGCACACGCACACACACACACAGGCACAAGTGCACACATACGCACACATACACACCGGCACACACACAGGCACGAGTGCACACATGCGCACACATACACACAGGCACAAGTGCACGCACACATACACACACAGGCACGAGTGCATGCATGCACACACATACACACAGGCACAAGTGCATGCACACATACACACAGAGGCACGAGTACACACATGCACACACACACACAGGCACGAATGCACACACACAACACACACAGGCACGAGTGCACACGCACATACACACACAGAGGCACGAATGCACGCATGCGCACACACACAGGTACGAGTGCACGCGCACACACACACTCCTGAAATCCTAAAGGAAAAGAAGAACTCTCTTCATACTGCACATGGGTGGTCCCCAATGCCTGGATGTTACAGACACAACCTGCGGGGGTGGGCAGGCATGTAATGGGAAGGCAAAGTGACTCTGTGTGCCCTGCAGATGCTGGGTTCGTGTCACGTGGGCCCCCTCCACGGGCCATGTGGGAGCCCCTCAGAGCAGCCCCACGGAGCCCCACCAAAGGGGTGAGCCAAGGCAGCTGCCAGGACACGGCCCATGAGCTCTGTGTTCAGCTGCATTGGGGAGACAGGGAAGGAGGTGAGGCTGAGGACAGACCCAGGACACAGTCCCAGAGACAAGGAAAGGAGCAAAGGCCACGTGACATTTCTGCTGTAGACGCCTGCTGTGTGAAGGGTGGGCGACCCAGGGACACACCCGGTGGGCAGGGCCTCAGTGCTGCCTGGGGCTGGAGCACAGATCGGGGTCACTGGGCACGCAGGTGGGCTTTGATCCAGGGAGAAGCTGCACCCCCAGGGACAGCAGGCAGGACGGGAAGGCCAGAGCACACAAGCCCTGGTCCCTAGGTTTGTGAGATGGGTGGACGGGGCAGAGCAGGGGAAGGCGGCTGAGGGCAGGGCGATGGCCCCACAGCCCCGCCCGACAGCGCCCTGCGCTCGGCCGTCCACTCAGGAACAAGCCCCCACCCAGGCTGCTGCGGGGTCAGCACGGAGGCTCCGCGGCACTGGGCCCTGCAGAGAAGGTCTCTCAGCCCAGCCTAGGCCATGGCTCCTGCCCTCACTCTGGCCAGGACGGAAGGGGAGGCCTGGGGCACATACTCACCAGGAAGTCTTCCTCGCAAAACACTTTGCCGTTGACAAAATAGAAGGCCTTTCCTCTCAGCTTCCGGCCTAAGGAAAAAGCACAAAGGCACGGCAGACAGAGAACACTAACGTGCGGTGGAAAAGAGGGAAAAGACAAGCAAGGTTTTAAATTTAATTTTATTTATTTATTTTTTTAAATGTTCTACAAAGCATGTGTGATCCCACGGAAAGACAGAGAGAGAGGGCTTTTTTTTTATAACTTAAAAAAAACTTTCCAGAAGACACAGTGCTTGCAGGCCAGGGAACACCTCCCACTGGGTGTGGTCACCCCACAATCGCTTCCCCATTTCTCCATCCTGTGGGGACTTGGGGCATGCACACACACCTGGTGTGGTTTTCAAGCTACCCAGGCGGGGATTTGAACTGTGCGGTCAGCAATGTGATCTGTCTCTTTTAAGCACTAGGCTATGGGCCAGCCCGGAAAAGACAAAATCTTTTTCAGCGGAAATAACCATGCAAAAAATGCCACAAGTCAGCAGTAGTCATGGTTACCAAAGACGCTGTGTCCCCCCCAAGAGGCCTCCATCTCCCTTGAGAACGCATGTGGTACCACGCAGTGCTGCCGGCAGGAGCTCCCCACTGTCCCCCATGGGCTCCCGCAGCACTCCTGGGTCTGGAAACACCTCCCGTGCTTGCCTTGAGACACACCCGAGGGCCTCTGAGGAGTTTCAGAAATCGAACAACTCCTCGGCCCTCAATGAAAGCACACGCCGTGGGGTTGGGCCCGCAACGCAAAAGCTAACCACCGAAGTTGCAGACCTTAGCAGTCAGTGCTTGTGACAGAGAGAAAGCCCCGGACAAACACCGACATCGTCCCACGAAGTCCGGGCAGGCAGAGCTGCACCAGGTGGGCATGGGGGAGACTGCATGGAGACCGGGCAGCACTCAGAGGGGACTCTGCAGCCACCAATGCAGGAAATGCCACAACACAGGAAATAACTTCACCCACAAAAGCATAAACCTCTAGGTGAATGAAAGACCTAAGGGTGAAAAACAAATGGGACTAGAAGGAAATACAGGCATTTTACATTTTGACTTATTCTTTAATTTTTGCTATAGGGCATGTGTGCTTACCAGAGACAGAGAGAGAAGGAAAGTGAGAAAGCACCCCTCGGGGGACGGCCACGTTGCAGTCCCTTCTCCTCCGTTCTCCTGGGGTTTTAGGCATGCACACGTGCCTGGCACATCCAGGCCAGCACGCGAACCATGTAGACAGCCACGTGGGATCCAGCCACCTTAACCTCCCTGCTGGTCCATTTTATGCTTACATATACTACGTGCTTACTATGTATAATGTAACATTGGTATTTATGTTTTAATGTAAGAAAAGGAAGTCTGACTTTGGCATGGACAAAGATTTCAGCTAAGAGGTAAAGAGTACATCGTGGGCACCAGGGGGTGGTGAGCTGGACTCACATGGGACAGGTCCTGGATCCCGTCCCAGAACCTGAGTACGCCAGGCACGCAGCCTGAGCCTGGCACGGGGTCAGCTCAGGGCCAGTGTGAAGACCCAGCAGAAGACGCCTGACTCTGTCTGTCAGGCAGTGGATGAGTGAGTGAGTGAGTGAGTGAGTAAATAAGTGAGTAAATGAGTAAGTGAGTAAATAAGTGAGTGAGTGAGTGAGTAAATGAGTAAGTGAGTAAATAAGTGAGTAAATGAGTGAGTAAATAAGTGAGTGAGTGAGTGAATGAGTGAGTAAATAAGTGAGTAAATGAGTGAGTAAGTGAGTGAGCGAGTGAGTGAATGAGTGAGTGAGTGAGGAGTGAGTGAGTGAGGAGTGAGGAGTGAGTGAGTGAGGAGTGAGGAGTGAGTGAGTGAGGAGTGAGGAGTGAGTGAGTGAGGAGTGAGGAGTGAGTGAGTGAGGAGTGAGGAGTGAGTGAGTGAGGAGTGAGTGAGAGAGTGAATGAGTGAGTGAGTGAATGAATGAGTGAGTGAGTGAGTAGATGAGTGAGTGAATGAGTGAGTAAATAAGTGAGTAAATGAGTGAGTAAGTGAGTGAGCGAGTGAGTGAATGAGTGAGTGAGTGAGGAGTGAGGAGTGAGTGAGTGAGAGTGAGGGTGAGTGTGTGTGAGTGTGAGTGAGTGTGTGTGAGTGGGTGAGTGTATGTGAGTGAGGGTGAGTGTGAGTGTGAGTGAGTGAGTGTATGTGAGTGTGAGTGGGTGAGTGTATGTGAGTGTGAGTGGGTGAGTGTGAGTGAGGGTGAGTGTGTGTGAGTGTGAGTGAGTGTGTGTGAGTGGGTGAGTGTATGTGAGTGAGGGTGAGTGTGAGTGTGAGTGAGTGAGTGTATGTGAGTGTGAGTGGGTGAGTGTATGTGAGTGTGAGTGGGTGAGTGTGAGTGAGGGTGAGTGTGTGTGAGTGTGAGTGAGTGTGTGTGAGTGGGTGAGTGTATGTGAGTGAGGGTGAGTGTGAGTGTGAGTGAGTGAGTGTATGTGAGTGTGAGTGGGTGAGTGTATGTGAGTGTGAGTGGGTGAGTGTGAGTGAGGGTGAGTGTGTGTGAGTGTGAGTGAGTGTGTGTGAGTGGGTGAGTGTATGTGAGTGAGGGTGAGTGTGAGTGTGAGTGAGTGAGTGTATGTGAGTGTGAGTGGGTGAGTGTATGTGAGTGTGAGTGGGTGAGTGTGAGTGAGGGTGAGTGTGTGTGAGTGTGAGTGAGTGTGTGTGAGTGGGTGAGTGTATGTGAGTGAGGGTGAGTGTGAGTGTGAGTGAGTGAGTGTATGTGAGTGTGAGTGGGTGAGTGTATGTGAGTGTGAGTGGGTGAGTGTGAGTGAGGGTGAGTGTGTGTGAGTGTGAGTGAGTGTGTGTGAGTGGGTGAGTGTATGTGAGTGAGGGTGAGTGTGAGTGTGAGTGAGTGAGTGTATGTGAGTGTGAGTGGGTGAGTGTATGTGAGTGTGAGTGGGTGAGTGTGAGTGAGGGTGAGTGTGTGTGAGTGTGAGTGAGTGTGTGTGAGTGGGTGAGTGTATGTGAGTGAGGGTGAGTGTGAGTGTGAGTGAGTGAGTGTATGTGAGTGTGAGTGGGTGAGTGTATGTGAGTGTGAGTGGGTGAGTGTGAGTGAGGGTGAGTGTGTGTGAGTGTGAGTGAGTGTGTGTGAGTGGGTGAGTGTATGTGAGTGAGGGTGAGTGTATGTGAGTGAGGGTGAGTGTGAGTGTGAGTGGGTGAGTGTATGTGAGTGAGGGTGAGTGTATGTGAGTGTGAGTGAGGGTGAGTGTGAGTGAGTGTATGTGAGTGTGTGTGAGTGTGAGTGAGTGAGTGAGTGTGAGTGAGTGAGTGAGTGGGTGAGTGAGTGGATGAGTGAGTGAGTGAGTGAGTGAGTGGATGAGTGAGTGGATGAGTGAGTGAGTGAGTGAGTGAGTGGATGAGTGAGTATTTGTAAACAGCCCACAGTGTTTTTACAAATGCAAAGGCCGGTACATACCACCTGACAAAGTTAAGTGCCTATACAACAAGTGACATTTAAAAGACGAAACTAAGGAAAAGCCGAAGTCCCTCGGGAGGGAGGCTGGGGAGGCTCACAGGGTGGGTGGGAGACAGCCATGGAGGAGGGAGCGGAAGTGGACACCCCGGCCCCCAGGGAGCCGGGCTCAGGTGGAGGTGCTGCAGAGCCAGGAGCCAGGGCTAGGACAGGGAGGAGGAAGAGGCCGGCACAGCCTGCCACGCTGTGGGAACACCGACGAACCGGCAAGGAAAAGGCAGGGCCCAGGGAGAAGGCGCACAGCGACGGGGGATCGTCCCAGCCCGCAGACACCCCGGACACTCGCAAATCCCTGACTGTACGTAAACTCTTCCCGTCGAGGGACTCCAGAGGACTCAAGGTTTTAG